CTTTCCCTGCTCTCCCTCCCTCCCCTCTCGTCATACCCCTGATGCTCACCTGGAGGTGTCATCTGAGCTTTGACAAACTGCTAATTAGGTGCAACAGTCATTTTTCTTTCTTTTTTTTCCCCCAGCCCTTCATGGAGAGGCAGGTAAGCTCGTCTCTGTTGCAACGTTTCTTTATGGCAGCATTTGTGCTGTTCCACTGTAACACTATCTCTACTATATTCAGATAAGTGAGAGCTCATGCTAAAACAGCCTGCCGGAAGTGCCTGGACGCAGTGATTAAGGAGCTAATATAAATCACATAATGCATTTTATTAATCAGTGCTTTTGAAGCAGTCAGGGAAGCTAGTGGTTATCAGCTTAGTTAACTAGCCCTAATGGGGAGGGCTGGGATTGGACCGGGCGCTGGATGAATGGAACAATGCCATTCACTTGGATTCTTTGTTTTCCCCAAGAGGTCCGGACACTTCATCACACGCAACAAAGTGACTTCACTATGCACGAAAAAGATTAAAAATCAATGAGGTATAAGAGAATAGAGGCGAGTGGGAGAGAATAACCATAGCAACAAAGAGTTTGGAGTAGAAATACGACACTTGACTTGTAAAAATGGAATTGTGTTGCTAATAAACTGCACGTTAAAGGCACGTATGCATAGTTTTGGTCTGCGGCGTGGACCGCGTGTGGCCGTATTTGAATTACGCTCCTCAATAGGAGTAAAACAAATACACCCTGAAAACAGTTTTAACGCTCAGTTTGAAAAATGATATGCGCTGCGCTGCCAACATGGAGAAAAAACAATCAGCATCAGGCGCTCTCCTCAGACAGATGTGCACATGCTGTTTTACAGTCGTACGGGGGGAACCTACTGATATTCTCCGCAGGTACTTTTACGATGGCTGGCTCGATCAGGTTTTCTGCCAGGACAAACGCCCCTTCCTCCAGGGTGTCCAGTAGCATTGTCGCAGCGTGAGATTGCTCTGTTGAATTCATGTCTTTCCAAGATTTCAGAGCTTCCGGCCTCAGCAGGTTGTCAACGGTGTCCACAATGGCCTGTATCCATGGAGACAAGTGAAATGTCAGCTTCTTCCCATTATAACTTTAGTTTATAACAAAGTGCAGTAACAAGGGAGCAAATGATAAAAAGGTCATGCATGGCCAACAGTGACAACAGCAACAGCAACTGAAACAGAAATATCAGGGTCACTCCAAATGATGGCATGATGGTTCAGGAAAGCCGTAACTGAAACAATAATAATGATACAATTGCAGCATGTTCTGGGGCTGTCATTTTCTCCAAAGCTCACATTAAAAAAAAAACAAAAACAACAATACATATGTGACATAGTAATTTAATAAATTCAAAGGTCGAGCAGGACGTCTGTCTGCTCCAAACCCAAGTCAAAAAAACTCCTCGGTCTTTTGCCAGAAATAACATTTTTCTGTGCGTCTGGTTGATATCTGCTGATGTACTGTGTCAAAATGAATGAGCAGTTAAAATCCTCCTGTTCAGACACAAAGGCATTAAAGGGTGGAGGAAACATGACAATAGAAAGCACTTTGAAGGTTCTGCTGAAGTCATGTCCCTACAGAAGGACTACATCGCTTCTATAGTAACAGATACTGACATAAAGGCTTCTGGTCAGGGGTCTACTACAGGCTACATGAGCTAAAGATTGTGACGCACACACACAAATGAATGAATAAATTGCAAACAACACTATGTATGAAAAAGATAAAAAAAAACTATAACCAGCTTCAAGGCACGGTGTCGCCATAAGTCCATTTATAAGTAGTTTGACATTAACACAGCGGATGTCAATCAATAATCCATGAGTTATAATAATAGTTGAATATCGATTAAAATTCATGCTGATTTTCTTTATGGCTTAGCAAACACGGGAGAAAATGTGTGCGTATTGTTGTTTTATTAACAAAGAGTTGAAAAAGAAAGGGACACATTTTGTGTTCCCTGTTTTTTTTTCTCTAAAACATGAACAGAGTGTGCACAAAACAAACCCCTGGCACATTTTTTTTTTTCTGCTGGCAGATGTGATTAAACAAATGTGCAACAGTACTAGCACTAATCCTTAACACACATCCAGTTGAGGGTACTTGAAGAGCTTTTGAAAACATACTCAACTTTCACCAAATAGTTGAGTGGGCAGTGATGAAGCATGACAGGTCCAATATGTGAAGTTCAATATTGTATTTTGGACGGAGGAGGTGAGGGGGTGGGGGGGCAACTAAGAAAGGACCCATTTGGAACAATTTGTTCATTGAATAGTAATGTAAAAATGCTCCAGGAGAAACCCAAATACAAAACAAATGTTTATTTGCCTCCACAGAATGAAATTGTCTGCGGTGCTCTATCCCCAGTCTCTGGTTTTAAGCAGTTATTTTCCAAAATAATAATTATCTCCAGGAACAATAATCTTATTTCCAAGACTAGATCTGCCTATAATGACCTCAGATGCATTTCTCCCGGAGGAGACGGGGCAAAACCAGGGAAGTCGTGCTTATTTTTAATGGCAATCCTTCATTTCCTGCTCTCAGATAAGAAGTAAGTAAAAACATTCCAAGTATTATGTGTTGATAAAACAACACATAATACTTTCCCCTGAACCAGGCAGGTCAAGTTCGTGACAAGTTGGCACAACGGAAGGACCCCGATAACTTCGTGATCTCTCTCTCTCTCAGGCCAGACAGTCGCACTCAGATTCCCTTCTGTGTGACAAATCAGAGTGACAACTTAACCATAGGTGTCATTAACCACAGCAAGGGATGCCACAATAATGGTAATTAACCACAACAAGGCCCTACTCACTGTACCAATTAGTCACAGCTATGATTATCCCAGACACTAATTGACCACATAAGGGATTATCCGTTTGCTGGAAATAACAAGAAAGAGGATCAACAAAAAGTCGGCACCGATATATGATTAACCGCAACATTTAACCACATAGCTCATGAACCGCAGCGATGACGACATGGGGCTCTCAGCATGTCTTCATATCTCAGGCCTGAGCCTAAAAATCAATCGCTGAGCCGCTGACCTTGAGGGCAACTGGAAGCTCGCAGGCTGTGACAATGATAAGAGTAAAGTGTGTGTGTGTGTGTATGCAGGAAAAAGAGGGAGAGAGAGAAAGTGTTGGCGATTACAGGGTAGGAGTCATTACACTCACACAGACAGTTAATGGTATTCCTCTCCTGGTGAGCCTTTCTCAAAGGATCCATGAAATCCAAATACAGGGTTGTGGAGCTGACTCTAATTTGTGCAACACAGAAAGAATCTGTGTCTTCAATGAATCCTCTTAAATTCTCGCCTGGGTGGAGGTCACTTCACAAATCACAGGGGTACAGACAGGGGGAGCCCCCCCCCACTCCCACTCCCTCTTATGACTCACTAAAGCCAGAGAAATAGATTGTGTGGTCGCAGCTCAGGAACAGGTCATCAAACACCCCAACAGCCCTGATGTCAAGAGCCAGAGTGGCTTTTTAAGCTCTCAACTAAAATTACTGCCGGGCCCGTAGCGTGCTAAATGCAAACATCTGCGTGCTAACATGTCATGACACAAATATATTTTTATTTAGCATGATTTCCATCCGAGCATAGCTCGTGGGCATGCTGGGATTAGCTAATTAGCGATAGACGCAGTGCGGGCTGATGAGACTTGATGATGAGGTTTGTTTTGCAGGTGCTCAGTCACAGACCGAGGCACTGAAGCAATTCACCTTAATTTCCCTCCTTCATTTGAAAAGGAAAAATATGTCAGTTTTAGCCCACGGTCATTGACTCCTGTAAAACATAGATGAAGATAACCTATTTGTCCTTTTTCTGGTTGTTACAAACGAGTGCAGACTGTTGCACTGGGATTTCTGCATCTTAACATGCGTTTAATTACAAAATACATCACAATAAATGAAGAAAGGACACCAGGGTGCACATTAGCATGAACAGTGGTAAGGGATGTTGTACATCTGTTTCCGTAGTTTATCAGTCCTGAGATTTAACAACAGGAGGACTGGGGAAATAACTAAGAGCAGCCATCCATCCAGGGTCTACTTTGGAACAAACTCTGTCCAGAGTTGAACAGAGCCAACAAGTGGGATGAGATGCAAATTTGATGAGATGCCATGAACCAACGACAGGCTTTTTCCATGGCGGAGGAAGCCAAGAGTTCCAACAGGCAATTGTCATCAAGGTGGAGAAAAGAGTTCGCTATAGGTCTCTGTTAAAGTGGGCTCTAACTAGAACTATGTTGTTAACCATGACCAAATAACCATATGCAACAGTGCGGGTAACCAACTGGATCGCGTTGCAGAGCATTTGTAATAATATTATGAGGAAATTGACCCAGTGTCACAATCTTTGCCTTTGCTTGGTAACATCCAGGCTGTGTTGGCAAATATTTGGTGAATACAAGTGGGACAACACTACACAATGGTGAGCCAAATGAACTCCGTAACTCCCAGACTTAAATCTGTGCCGTAACAATTCTGTTGTTTTTACCTTTTTACCTATCATCATGATGTAAGTTGATGTTTTTGGCTTTCTGGCAGAATTTGTCATTGATTGCTGTGACATTCTTGGAAATTTATATTCATCAGAAGTAGGTCGTTATTCCTCGGTCCAATGACACATGTCACAAATATTTTTAGACACTGCAGGGACCTACTCTCCTTCCTCTGAAATAGTTGCAGAAATATCTAATTAAATCTGTCCCGATCTGCCCCTGGTCCACGTTTCCAGTTTTTAAATTCATGTCTTTTTCTTATTACTTTTGAGCTTTGGTGTTTGCTCACTGACCTTGTGTCACTGGTTCATTTAGTATTTATCAGCCCTGCCTGTCATGTTTTGTTGATTCTGTCCTTGTGTGTCTTGTCTGGAGTTGTTTATGTTATGAAAGATTTTTTTTTGCTCTGTATCTGGGTCTCGCCATCTTCCTTGTTTTCATTTTCTGCCTCTGACTGTGCCCCCCCCCCCCCTCATGTCACTCACCTGTGACCTGTGAGGTGCCTCACCTTGTGAATTTGGTGTTCTGGCTGCCTGCTTTTTATTGTAAAACAGTTGGTTCTTTTTTTCCTCTCTAGTACCTGTCTTCGTATTTATGTTTCATTTTATTTTATCATTTACGCTGCAAATAAATCTCTAGTTTTGGTTCTAATTTGCCAGCCTTGGGTGAACATTGTTGCAACGAAATAAAAAAACACAGATGCTTCTTATATTCCAGAAAAGAATAATCAGGTTTTTATGTCTTGTTGTGCAAAAGTAATCTAGTGATAATTATCTCAACATCCAGGGGTGCATTGGAAACAGAAACCACTAATAGCTAATTTGGCATACTTCAACAGTGCCAATTTGAGGAAGGGTGCGGGATGGGTTTAACCTGCTGTGCCAGATGAAAAGTGAGAGGATCATAGGGAATCATCTGGGAACCTTATGTCTGAGCTGCATTTCAAAGCAATACATCCCGTACCTGCTATTTCAGTCTGAACGCAAGTGATAGGCCCACTGAAATTTCTCCATATCATCCTGACATAAGCATGGCTAAAAAGACATTTCACAACCCGAATCAGAAACTCCTCTCGTCAACATAACCTGGAATTGATGAAAGTTCCCTTCAGGCACAGAATGTTCTATGACATCCAAAGCATCTTCTCCTGAGACTTTTCACTTGTCTTTCACCACAAACAATCCTGTCACAGTAGAGGAAATTGAAAATGTCTCAAATAGGAACTAAGACGGCAGGATGTACTGCAAATATAGACATTAATCCCATAGATACAGGACACCTCTAATGGACATGGAGATTTTTTTTTTCTTCGTTTGCTGGGGACAACATAGACTAGAGTTGTACAATCTTAGCGAGTGAAAATTGAGCACACAGCCACTTTGATCACACTTCTGGCTGACAGGGAGGAGCAATTACGACCGTGGGAAGGCAATTATTCACACAACGTATAAAGAGCTGACGAGAAAGATGAAGAGAGGGAGAGTGAGGGAGAAGAAGTGGGGGAGGAAAGGGAGGAGAGAGGAAAAAAACCCGAAAGATGCTCAAGTGATGATGTACAGAGAAGGAGGAAAATGGGACAAAAACAGAGTGATATTGACGCTGGCGTCCTCAGATGGACAGAATGACAGCAGCAGAACACACAGCAGAGTCAGATGGGGAAGCAGCCATTACTGGTACATGGGGGATCACAACGCACAAACTGTAACAAGACAATCAAGGACATCGAGAGCGACAGTGCTGCATGCTGCTGATCAGACATTAGGGATCGGGGTAAAAAAAGCAACATGGAAAGCCTGGTAGTAATACCTTCATATAGGCCCTGCATGTCTTCTCCCTTTTTTGAAGCTTTTCCACACAACAAGAGGATTAAGCACAATAGACAGATTGTGAAAAGAGGTAGAAGAAGAAACAGGAGCCATTAGGTCATTTTTATTTAAATAGTGAGTTACTTCACATCAACAGGAAAAAGAGCAGGGCGTGAAACTACAAACTTAAGTAATGCCACAGCTCTATACGTGTTCTTGCGGTAACAGTGCTGGAAATCTAAAAAAAATGAATAGGAATGATTTAATTGTTAGATGAGAAATGAACGGCCCTGTGGAAGAAAAAGATGCTGAGACGAGAGTCTGATGCTCCCCATTAGTGATCCTTTAAAATATGTTCATGAGATAAACAATGTGGGATGAGGTCATTTGTATTTCCTGGCATAGAGAGAATAATGCAGTGCTGCAGCTTTTAAAATCTCCACTGTTGGTCTCTCTCTGGTATTGGATATGTCACCTTCTTCTCCTAATTGAGTCAAACCAGAGAGAATTTAATTCCGTGGCTCTTTCACTGAATAAGAGAACATATACATAAAGAAATAGTTTTAATTCACATCATACAGACACACCAAACCCCTCACATGGAACCAAAACTGTTTTAACAGATGTTTCCATTGGTTCAACTTTATGGATTAAAATGTCACTTACTACAAACCTAAAGTAAAGGGCAATAATGTGAAGTCCATTTTTGCTCTTTACATTTAAAAACATAATCTGGAGTCAAAGATGTTCTAAGTTATTTTTAGTGTTTTCCTTTAACTGTAACTCTCTGTTTCTTTAGACTGTATTTTTTTATATTTTCAGCCAGATCTGTGCCATTTCAGCATTAGGTCCTTGTTCATGTATTTGCCTGATATCCTGTAGCCCTGCAACATGAATGACAAAGATTGTTTTAGAAACCAAGCAGCGTTTGACAGCATCAGTCTGCTGTGACAGCCTGCCGGAGCTGAAGAACAATGAAAAGTTATTTTCTATTCTTTTTCCTTTGTGGCTGCGCACGTGTTTTCTAATTCTCCGGAGCGGAGCTTCAGTTTCTGACACACCGACTGTTTCAGTACTTGATGGTTTTACCCTCGACTGACACCCTAACAAGGTTTTCACAAACACTTGTGCACCTTTTTTAGACCTCAGGTGTGTTAAAACTAATACAGATTCAAGGCCCAATTGTTAAAAAGTAAATAAAACCCTCTGTAAGTCAACCTGTGTTCTAGTGCAGGGCAAATATAAATATGAATATGTTTTAACACATTTTGTTCAGTGCTAAACTTTTACAAAGTTTAAGACTAGAGATTCAGAAAGTGTTATAGTACCAACATGACAAGTACTTTCTTGTGATTTTTTTTTTGACAGTTCCTAAGTTCACATCCTAAGGTGTTGGGTCGGATGTTTGTGTGTGAACGTGTGTATACGTCTATATGCGCCGATGGTACGGGGTCGTCACACCCTACATGACGTTTCATCAGAAGGAAGCCGTCGACACATATTTCTCGAGAAGAAAACACATGCGGCCACAAAAACATGGGATAAGTGACACAAAGGGCAAAGTGTGAAACCAGGTTTAATGGAGCTCAGCCTGCAGTGTGTGTGTGTGTGTGTGTGTGTCTACATTTGCCGCAGGGACGCTGTCTGTGATCGCTGTTTAGGATTTTTAGCCGCTGTCACCCCCGTCCTCAAAGGGCAAGACTGAGACGGCTTGAGTTTTTGCAGACTCGGATCGAATTTCCAGCATGCTGACAATGAGGTTGAGGCTTTTGAATGCATCAGTGGGTCTCTACTGGCCGTGTCTTTTTGTATTTTTCTCTTAGTGTCTGCTGATCTTGATCTGATTAGGGTTAATTAGCTCTGACTTGGGAAGAAAAAAAAAGGTCTACATTTTTGGTTGCTGTGCTGCAGCTATTGCATATTATGTTTTTCCTGCGGTTTTGTTATAAATTGTATTTTTACCTCTGTGACGCACACACACAAAAATGCATTATCAATGGACAGTAAATATAACTTCAAGAGAAGAGGATGTTTGATTAGTGTGACAAGTTTCCAAGGATCACTGATAGATTTTCCTGTGGCGAAGAGATGAAGTGAACGCACTCATTAAGCAGCAAAAAAACACTTCAAATATGCGTCATCATTTGAAGACCGGGACTCCGTGAATATAAGGGCACAAACAACAGGCGTAATTGTGGTGCAAATCACCTTGTTTACAGGAAAACTAGAGTGTCGATGAAGTCTGAATAACAATGTGATTTTTCAAACTGTCACTCATCTCTCCACGGGAATGACTGCAGCTGAGAGCTGTAGGTACGTCCTGGGCCTACTCCTTCTCTGTGAGGGCTGCAGAAGCTCCGGGAGAGAAGGGATTCACACTTGTCAGCAATGAAAAGTTTCTCTCTGCCTTAGTGGGGGGAGTGCGGGGAGGGGGTTCATAGCCATTAGCTGCGTTAAGGGGGAACTGCCAGGTGAGCCTGTGCTTCTTAAGGCAGGGTAATTACCACAGAGCTATGGAGGTGGGAGCCTTCCCTGAGGGCTAGCCCTGCCTTTCTTGCCCCTTCACCTGAGACTGTATGTTGTCATGAGTGTGAACGTGTCTGCACTGGAGCGGCTGCAGACACAGCCTTGTGCTGCCGTGTGTCTGTAGGTGTTCTACTAATGAATGTCCTGAGTCACGCTGACACCAAGCTGGGCCAAAGGGGGGACAAAGTTTAATGAGAGGTTACCATCGGCCAGACAGGAATTTCACAGTACCTTGTTGAAGCTACGTCCAGCTGAGTCCTTCTCACTGGGCCTGAGCTCCTGCAGCTGAGCGTCCAGGATGTCCACGAGCTGCTCCATCAGGCGCACCGAGGAGCTGACGTCTCCGGCGAACACTGGGCCCTGTGTGTGGCGTGCCAGCTCATTGGCTAAATTAGCAGCATTTTCACCACTTCGAATCTAAAAACAGTAACAAGGAAATCAGAGGGGGGTGAGGTGGTGTCTGTGAAGCGTCAGTGTGGCATGCTTGAAATGATGGCACTGCGGTGTGAAGGTGTAATAGCCTATGCACCATACAGTGCACACCAGCGCTGCCTGATAAGAAGGGCAACGTTATCATCCGCGATTTAACGTGCGATATGAGGTGTAGGTGATTAGCATGCAGGACAATAGGCAAGTGTGATACACAGGCGTCAGAAAAAAAAAAAGAAAAGAAGAGACGAAGTTCCTGGCAGCATTGATGACGAGCTGTCAGTGTCTGTGCTCTCATCTGTTAACACTGCAGGCCCATCAGTTATCCTGTGATTAAGTGCTCTAATTCTTTTAGACGCAGCCACAGTTAACTAACCTGCCATGACGGAGCTGCGACCCAGTTTTTAAAACACAAATTCTTTTCATACAGCCGCTCATTTACGGGGAATTTAAATGAACAAAAAAAGAAGCTGGAAAATTCTTATGAAACTCTCCGTAAATTATTGCAAATATGTGCAAAAAATATATGAAAAACTCACAGACATATGTTGTACTTTGATAAGGTGACTGACTGCAGTAACATCATTATGTTTTCAGGTGTCTCTAACGGCTTAGACAAGTGTCATCATTACACTGCTGACATTTTATTTCATTGGGTTCTTTAACCTTTAGAAATGGACTGTTTTGAATTAAGAGCAGACATCACATTTTTAACCACCCTTAAAAAAAGGTTTTGATAGACTGAAAGGGAACTTCAATTCAGTCCTTGACAGTGCAAATAATTCGGGTGTCAAAGACATTCGAATTTAGAATTCTACAAAAGAGAAATTCTCTGATGCAAACTCCAGTGGAGGATATAGAGACAAATATCTGAATTCATTACACAAATACAGTGGTTTCAAGTTATCTTAGAACTTTTTGACCAACCCTTTACTGTACATCATGCATTATTCGACTGTTATCGTGTATACTTTGCCTCTAGGTTGGTATTTCTAAGTAAAAAAATAAAGGGAAGAAAATAAAAAATCACTAACTCAATCAGCTCAGTTAATTATATCTAGTTTGTACCGGTTTCACTAATTAATGAGCAAATATGTAGGAACAAAAATACGCCTTTCAGGCTCCTTGTGTCATGATAATGGGTGCAGGCGTCCTGGAGGAACTCCCGGATGGCACTGAACTCAAAATAGCTGTAAAATAATGCTGGGTACAGCAAAAGTGTGTTTAATAACTGCATAATTGTTTCTTTTAGTATTTGTCGTCTGCGCTTTTTGCAAATCGCTTTTTAGAAATCGAGAAAAAAAAAAAAGATATCACATGCACCCTGGGTTTTTCAGACTAAAGAAAAGTTAATAAGTTAATCATTTAACTCACGTTAGTCCTGAACCCTGCGTGAACCTGAAGTGGGTTTTTTTTTTCAGTCCAAAATAAAAAGACTATCTCTGTCAACATCAGCTCTCTTCATGCATGACTGTCGACCATCAAAGCAGGAAATTGGGCCTTTCAATACAACTAACTGAGTGAAGTTTTTTGGCATTGACTTATGATGTTTTAAGGCCCCTGCTCCCTGCCACCACACTGCACTGGTGCATTGGAGAAGGTATTTTCAGGATGTCTACCACCAACCACTTGTGGAATAATGAAAACACACCAAGGAAACGGGTCAGAAGTTTTGACTGCTGGGTTATATTTCAGCTGTCGACGACAGGCTTTTTTTTTCTTTTTTTTTTTGCTGCCATATTGTATGACTGACACATTCCTAGTTTACCTTTTGTGCCACTTGAGTTACCCAGTGGGAGGTGCAGTTGCTGAGGTCTGGCCCTCTGGAGCACCAGGTCCCTGCCACAGTGCAGAGGAAGGAGGCGACGCCTGTAGTAGCACAGAACAAACACAGCCGTTGGAGTGCAGCCAAAGTCATTCTCAGAAAAGGTTTCTCCTGCTGAGCCTTCATTCATACACTCTCAGTCACCAGAAACTAAACGGTTTGGCAGGAGCAACAAAATATCTAAAAACCTAAAGGTTGTGTGTGTGTGTGTGTGTGTGTGTGTGTGGTCCTCACAAAGTAAAAATGTAGCATTGAGACTTAAGTACTACGAGGTTTCTACTCAGCTGCCAGAAGTAAAAATCAAACAAAAAAAACATCGACTGAGGTTTGTTTGCATTAAGGCTTTTTTCGCTTGTTAAAACATTACATGCCGATCACTGTAACATAAAATACGGATTCATTCTGATTAGTTAAAATCAGTACATAATGCATTTAAATTGCTCATTTCCTCTCCTCCTACAAGCAGGAAAACACTCTCTACTTTTTGCCTTCTACCTTTTGCAGAGTGATTTTATATTGTCACCGTTCTGTCAGTCTCTGTGATTGTGAAGGGAGAGGAAGGGGGAGAGAGGGCGGGGGAGGATGTTTGTGAATAATTCCTGCGTTATAATCGTCATCATCTGAAATGTTACTTTATCCGCTGACTTTTTCTTCAACCAGACGCAGCTGTAAATATAATGTTCCGATTTAATTAGCAGACACTAACTGAAATTCATACACACTGCGTTCCTTTAATGCTTTTTAATTGGCCAGGAATTTTTATTAGCCAGTTCTTCCGTCAGCGTGTTTATGCCACATTAGAGAAAACTGCCTTTCGGTGTAATTTTGACCATTAACAGACTTTAAAAAATATATACAAATATAAAATACAATACAATGGTTTGCATTGAAAAAAAGAGTTTAAATGTTAATCAATGACTTGTGTTAAAATGTGAGTGGGAAAATGAACTTCCAGGTGGTAATTCCCTGTGAACTGCTTACAGTCTCTTTTTTCATCAGTGACAGTGAGTACTATGATGTACTGAAGTTTCCACGCTTGTTAACAAAGCAAAGTATTTCCAATTGTATGTAGATTAGGTGAAAAAAGATCATCTCATGTCATGTATGACTACTTTTAAATTTAAAATAAAATCCAACGTCATAAAATATGTACTTTTTTAAAATAAATAATGTGAATACAGTCTGGGGCTTCTTATGTTTGTGGTAAGAGGAGGAAGAAGTACTCTAACTGGAGTACAGATTTAATCATTAAATGGTACTATAAAATGTTACCAGTACATGGTGTACAGATAATCCAGATGGTGGCGTACCTCTGGTCCCTTTAGGACAGGGCCTCTCCACCGTGCTTCCAGAGTGGGTCTGTGGCCAATCAATGGCTCTCCTCCTGGTGGCCTCACAGAAGCGTCTGGGCGTCGGGGGCAACTCTGTGACGGTGGGCTCCGCCATAGTTGACCCACGTTTGTCCTCAAACGGATCTCTCCCGTCTCGAGGATCTGCTCCTGCCACGGTGGTGTCAGCGTGTCCCTTCACCGTGGACATGGTCGTGGTTGTGAAATTTGGGGTTGTCTTTGTTATGGATGATGAAACGGAGAAATCTTCAATGGTTGGCCCTGGAGGGAGAACAGAATAAAGGTGTTAGACCTTGGTGATAAATGTCCTTGGAACTTGCGTCACTTCTAGCTGTAGGGAAGCTGTAACTGCTTTGACTTCTGTGGCTTATTTGTTGCTTGCTGCTCATAATTTCAGGAAATAAAATCTCCCACCTCCTATCTGCTCCGTACTGAGAGGAAAATCAAGGCAAAGCTACGGCACTATCTGTCTCGGGCTATTTTTAGTTTCCTAAGGAAAAGCAGCAGCGGTGGTGGTGGTGGTAGGCTCTCCTTTGACAGAGCGATGATTTGTTTCCCACAGAGTCACTACAATGGGCTGATTAAATGTCAACAAAAAAGACAAAGACTGCTTACATTTGACTTTCTGCCTGGTTTATCTCTCATTTTGATAAAGCCTGGCTGGCGAAGAAAAAAAAAAAGACCGCATTGCTCCAAACTAAAGCCATACATCAGCAATATTTCAATCCCACAGTATTCACTCCACACCAGCCCTGCAACGGCAAATGTATGCATGGATCTGCACAAGCATATGAGCTCTCTCCGTTGTTCTAGTGTGTTTCTGCCACACAGAAAACACTGCATGTACAGAAGTCGGCTCGGAGCAGAGGCGTTGAAACAGGGTAAGCAGAGCAGACACTGCCTGGGGCCCAAAGTACAGCACACCTAAGTACCTCAACCATATGAATGCTAACATGCTCAGAACGCTTCGACAATCTGTACCAACAACTTATTATTATTGTTGTATAAGTTCACATTCAACTACTTCTAAGTCTTCTTGCTGTAAATTTACAATTATTACTTGCATGTTTACTTAAATTAAGGTTGATGCCATGCTTACAGCGCCCACTGCTGGAGCAACTAGCACAAGTTTTTACCTGTAAATTTGAACTTTTACCCCCCGTGCTGAGCTGAGCGTTCAAACTTTCTATGAAAAGTGACAGGCCTAGATGGCATGTGGGTTTGGTCTGGCTTGATGTAGAAAACCTGGTCCTTTTCGCCCGCGGCCCACTGTAAAACGCCTCTGGCTGAGAGCCAGTGTATGGCAGAACCAGGAATCTACACTTCTGTAAAGTATAAACGGACAATGTGAATGAAACAGGAAACACAGATATATTATCGAGGGCATGTCTAGGGGGAATAGACGGTACGTCTTCGTGTCACCTGCGAGGCTGATCATACATTTCCACACAAAGCCGCCCGATTGTACCTACAGATAAAAGCACCTTTAGACAACAGGGCACTTCAGAGTGACAGGAAGTCTTTTCCTCTGGGTTAACTGGGAAAAAGGTAATATCATGCTACCTGACACTCCAATAACAAACACACATTCCCATTTCCTGTGAGAGAATAGCGGCCAAGGCCACATTTCACATCGGTCAATCATTTGTCGTTCGGCTGAACTTTATTTTTGGTTTAATATCGGTGAGTTTATGACCGGGCTGACACGGACTGATGTGGTCACAAGGCCTCGGGAAAAGCATAAAAAACTCCTCACACTACAGCTTAATAGTTACATTTTACTCCGTGACCTTCTCCGTGACAGGGACCATGGGTAATTACTTTGTACTTATTCAATCACTGGAGTGTCAACGTGCCATTTAGCTGCACATCCACAGTTTGGTCAGAACGACTGAGGCGGTGACGGCTAACATATCATTAAACGTTAGTGGGAACCTGTGGTCACAGTAACTCAGAAGTTAGAGTTAAAAGAACCCAAGTTCTGCTGCCTCATCCTCTACCAGCAGAATATATTGTCTTGCTCTTTCTTCTTATTTTAAGGTACAAGATACATGGCAGCGAAATCTGATTTAAAAAGAGCCGAGGTCTGACTCTGAAGAGGCTGTTACCCCAGTAGAAAATGATGCTACCAAAAATATTATATATTGCAGGTGCAGATTTTTTATTGACTCAGGAAAAGTGAGATGATTCATGGGCTGACTCAGTTAATTCAATATATGCTTATAATGCAGTGCAAGGGTGAGTGTAATTGGTTTTCAGATTATTAAACCTCTCTGAGCAAACTTCTGCTTTTGCACTAGGGCTGCTGTAAGCTCTAATATGCTTGCATCGCCCAATTAAAAACAGCCCTGACCACATTATTCTTCTCAAACGATCAAAGCAGCCGTACCTGACACGTGTGAGCGCAAATATCAAAAAACACACATTTGTTTCAGCTCCGCGTTTGTTTTTTTTTCTTCCTTTTGATGTTTCTATCTTTGTTGCGACAAATTGAAATGCAAATGGGTTTTAACGGCATCTTAAATCATTAGCGGTTCATTCAGTTTGTGAATGATGCAACATACGCAGCGCGGCTACGACTAACGATTGTTTTCATTCCTAATTGCCGTGATGATTACTTTCTATACTGAATGTCTATAAAATATCTGAGGAGAGAAACCATGAGCTGCACAATTAAAAAACAGGATTAATGGGCTGCAAGATAAAATTTAGATTGTGTATGTAGAGGTGGGAATCAATAAACACAGACGTCTGGATAATGACCGTTTTTTTTTTAAAGAGCTGATGGGCTGATTACATTTTTTTTTTTAGCTGTGAGTTAGTCATGATTAACCTTCATTCCAATTCATCTGTATTAATTTTTAATTATTTGACTTTATTTACTTTAAGCACAGTAAAGATAATATTTGAGATTATAATGTTTTTCAGACATGTAAGGACATAGAGGAACAATAATTGGTGGAATTATTGCATATACAATCCATGTCACTGCGCCAATGCCTTAAAATTTCAAACAGATTAATTTCACAAATTAATCAAACACGATAAACACCTACACTTGAAATTTGTATGTGCAAAATGTTAGACTTAAATTTAGAAAATCCTTAAAAACAACAGTCACGAATCAAATAAAGTTGGTTTCACACAGGAACTGACTTTTGTGTTTGTCTTTGTCCACACTGTTTTACTCCACTGGTTTACTGCTTTTTGGTGCCTTGGATCTTTGTTGAAAAAACAAGATGTCACCCTTCAGGGACTAATTAATTAAGAATCAGATGATGTGATAATGAAAATAATTCCCTTGTTCACTTTTAACAACCTGCTGAGAGCAGGGCCTGTGAAAATCAAGACAACATTTATCGGTTCCTGTTTGTTAAAGAAGCACCAGGCTGTGTTTTTTCACACTGTGAGATCTTCGGTCAGTGTCTGTCTCTTGTTTATTCTCTCAGGCGGCATCGTGAAATCATAACGCTTTAATTACCGAGTGCACTCAGATGTCAAATGAGTGTCTTTTTTTTTCATTAAACACACAATGCAATCTTTGTGCACGGTTATACTCAGCGGGCCTCGTGTTTGACACCAGATTGAATCCCATATAAAAAAACCCATTCAAACATGTTACATGTCTGTTCAATAGCAGATCAAGCCGTGTGCTTGTCATATGTCACTGCATGTGTGGGCTCCCCTACCCCCCCACCCCCCCCCCACACATATCTGCTCTGTGCACTTCACATTTTCTTTTGATTGTGGAGAGAAAATTCCCCCCGCAGTGAGTGTGTGTCCTCGGATAGCGCGGCGAGAGGGCTGCACCAATTAGCCTACCATTTCTCTCAAGAGGCAGTGAAGTCACTCTTTATGGGCTATTCGACACCACAGGCACACTGCAGCCATATGCCGAATAATACCTCCTGTAAATAATGGAGGATCCTGACACTGAACACATGACAAATGGCTGTCACCGGGGTCTAAACAGAGCATGTAAATTAAAATAGAGCTAAAAGCAATAAAGAGCATTAGGGAAGGTCATTAATCACGGCATGAAGAAGGAGGCAGAGTTATATCATTTTATCGTCCCCAGGAGTCGTTTGTGTTTCTGTGGGAAAATTGACAAAACAATTTGCCTACGATCAAACCATCATAAACCCAGACATTTGGCTTGACCTGGATTCTTTATTATTCCTTTTTTTTATATACATAACATTGTTTGTCCCCTGTCAGCACTGGCAGCTTTCTACCTGGGAGTAAAACCCACTCAAGAAATAGACCATAAGCTGCTCAATACTCACAATTAGCAGTGAGTGCAGTGATAAGTCACTGCCAGACATGAGCACTTTTTTCACTATTATTAAATTTGGAGATGAATGACTTGAAACCAAATGAAGGCTAATCCTCGCCATACAATAACAAACAGACGACTATCTTTGAAAGGAAATATGTAATGCTTTGTAAATGAAAAGCGGATCTGTTTCTAAACCGTAAAAATACAGTGAGCCAATGACAAAAAAATGTGAGGACACAAAGAGAACCCAGTTATTATTTGGTATGTCGTTGGGAATGAAAGGCTACAACTCAGACAGCAGCTCTGCAAAAAAAAACAAACAAAAAAAAAAAAACACAGGGAACACAGAGGACCAGTGGAATGAGTGGGACAAAAATGTCAGTGTTTGATTACAATGGGAAGATAATTCTGTAATTATTCACTTACATACTGGTTTTTTTTTTTTAATTTCCTCATCCATCATCAGTGCTGGCCTGTTTACGTCAGTCTGTGGTCATTTTTACATTTTCAATAGAATCATAATTAAGGCAGCACTAATGATGCTTAATAAAAGATACCTGTTTGTGTGCCATGATTGTCCATGATTTTTTTTTCTTTCAGTGTGACTCAATAATAAGATAAGTCTCAGAGGAGAACAACACACAGAGAGCCACACTGGGTCCCTGAGAAAAAGAAAAAAAAACACTGATAATTAATTACAGGGAAATACTGTAAATCCCACAGGACATGAATTTTACATTAGGCTGTTTATGTGCGCTCATGCAGGACTGTTTCGTGATGGGAACACACAGCTGTACAAAGTACAAGGCTCCAAGACAATCTCTGCCATTGTTTCAAATGTTATACTAGTGACTATTTGATCGTTTTTTTTCCTGCTTAAAAACAAAAGTTGTAAAAGTGTTTGCGACGCTTCCCGGTTCACTGACACTTGTTCTATTGTGGAGCAGGATTCAGGAAAAAAAACAAAAAACAAAAACCCTGCCGGACATATCCTGTGTCGGCGTGGTGTAATTTATGAGAGCTGAAACTGAATCCCGCGGAGCGGCAGACGTAGTGCAGCCACAACTAGACGGTCTGAGTCAGAGGAAGGTGGTAAAGCAGCTCACAATAAAGAGACAAGCAAGGAGACAGGAAAATATATGTGCAGACAGAAATACACACTCCCAGCAAGGAAAAAACTGTGTCCAACATGCCTGTGATGTCCACTCGGAGTATTTCCTGCCATATTTCAGCCAGAACAATCAGAGCTCTTTCAAATCTTCGGACTCCCTTAACTCCGGCCTCTATTTCAGTTAGGGAACATCATGCTTCAGAGGCTGGAACACAGGCTTAGTAAATGACACTGCTATAAATGTCCTCTGTCTTGAACTCAGGGACGGTTCAGAGATATTGAGGCAAAGTGAAGTGCAGCGAGGTGCACAGCTGCGTTTACCCACAAAATGGCTGAAAAAAAAAAAAACCTCAGCATTGTGATGATAGATACTGTGGCATGCAGGAGGATAGGAAACAAAATCTTTTTTTTTTTTTTTTTAACAATTCAATCCAGCATGAAGCCCACTCCTGCTCGCTGCTACCAGATTACTCAAAGTAGCTCAGCCTTTCGGTCAAGGCCATTAATTTTATGCCTCTCGTTCCTATGGTCTCAGATCAATTCTACCTCCAACAAATTAATTTTCTCCTTTCTCTCCTTGTTAGTTTGAAATGCTCTGGGCAATTACTGTCTCTTCTGATTGTCCCTTTTTTCATTTGTCAGAGCAAAATCCATTAATATCTTGTTTGGTAATGGTGAGCACCTAGGTGTGCTTTTTATTGGCCTGCACCTCTCCCACCCAGAGCTCACAGGGGTATTGATCATCACTGTGAGGTGTTCAAGATGCATTAGCGGGACATAGATGTTTTCTTTAAATGCGTGTAAACTGTTCGGAACAATAAGCAAAAAAGATCAATACGGCCGAATGCTCTTAGCTAATCAGCTAACCGGAGTCAGGAAAGCCACGGCTCTGCAGCCACTGGAGGTAAAATAAAGGAAATACCGACAAGTTGCTAAGGTCACTTACGTTCTGCTTTGATCACTTTGCTAAAACTCCTTTAATATAAACCTCTAATCCTGCTGGCACCTCGGTGCCTCCCTGAGATGAGCATTAGAGCCAAGGTTGAAACTTCTGACAGAAAAGGACGGCGGCACTGACTGTGTTAAACTACTTTCACCAAACAGCAAAATATACTAGGTTTGGAGTACGGGGTAACTTCACTCTGCGGTCGATGAATCTTAATGGGAACAATTAATTTCCTTTACGCCTCAAGTGCCCCTCAGTTTCAGTGAGGGAGACATTATTTCAGCACCATTACCATTACCCTGCAGAATAGGTTGTTTAATTCAACGCCATATCATGGCCGGCGATAAATCCTAATAGCTACACAGCAAAGAAGCTAAAGGTGTAAGTCTGAAAAAACTTAATAAAGAAGAGCCAATTATTTTCAAGTGCCATTCAAACTTGGCCACAGCGTCTTGAGGCGCTTTCTCTCTCACTCTCTCTCTCTCTCTCTCACTGTCTTTTTTTAAAACTGGCATTATTTCAAAATGCTGCAATAAAATACAGTTAATGAAGCACTGTGACAACATCTGAAGCTCAGATTTAGTTTCTAATAAGAACGCGGTGGCATGAAAACAGGTAGTTAGCATAACAAGTGAAACTGGGAAGTGTGTTCTGCTGGTGTTACTTTGATTAAATACAATGCTCCTGCAGCAAGTGGCAACATTAGGCCTATATGTGGCATTTATGTTTACTGAGGCATTACAGTAGCTGAGAGAGCACATTAAACCCCTCGTTGAATATGCTCCGTGATGGCCACTTCTCCCTCAGCCCCTTTTAAAGACAAGAAGGGTAATTATGATAATTCTGCTCTTAATTACATTTACAGACATAAAGACGTGAACAGTGGGCACGCATACTGATCCTATTACCCTCTGAGTATTTGTCAAATCTGGTCATGTTGACTTAGTAATGAGACCGATTTCATTTTTGGAAACAAGTTGTTTTACGTAATGGTAACTGTAAATATCACAATGAAATACACTCTCTCTAAAATGCACAATTCTAATTAAAGCATGCAATGTTGAATTAACTGCCTAGACGAAAACATAAAGAAAACGCTGGTCCATCTTGGCCACTGTCAGCTGAAATGTAATAAAATAAAAAAGTAAAATAATGCTATGCAATGTAATAAACCAAAAGACTATTCTGTTCAATAAAACATGGCTTTGTAGGATTTTTTAGTGCGTTAAGTAAATATAAAATATAAGAGATATTTCATATTATACAATTATTATGATTAAAATTGTTTTGATCATTTGTCGACTAAAACTAAATTAAATTCATAGCAGTTTTACTGAATGAATTGGGACTAAGTTACAATAGTTAGTGATATAGTTCCATTAAACCAGCTCTGTTGTGAGTTGTACACAGTCAGACACATTGTCATTGTCATATTGGTGATTTACTGGTGGCTCAGGCATGTCTTTCCAGAGGCTGCATTTCCTATATCAGGTATCAGGTACACGGTGCGCACGCACACACACACACACACACACACACGCACACACACACACACATGGCTGGTTTCTTCTCAGGTTTAAGCTGTACACCACTGTGACAGCACCACTGTTCTAAACCATACTGCATGTTTGTTGGTTTGTTTGTTTGTTTGTTTTTTTGGATTCCTTTTCTTGCATTTGATTGGCTTAAAAATCTGCATCTGACTAACATGGGCTAAAATACCTTTGGAACCATTTTGTTTTATTTAATTTAATGTAATTTTAAAGAAGGTATATTTGTATTTAATTTACCAACACTTAAAGTGAATGAGTGTAATACATTAACTCAGTATGGTACTGAGTTAACAGTTTGCTAAAAGGGTAATAAACTAAAATACATATATCAACATATAATATCATGGCCCACAGTGTTAAAATCTGGTCCTAAATATTCTGGTTGCTCAGAGAAAGTCAGCTGAACTGAGCTGAACTTGGGTGTGAAGATATTATGGCAGTGGAGAGTCCAGGCAAAGAAAGGAAAACAAACAGACGCTGAGAAGAGGTTAAAGTTCAGTAGCACACAGCCTCCACTGGGGCATCAACACCAGGCCAGGTCAGGAATCAAATTTCCCCCCTTGCAAAGCCCTCCCCAATTTTCAGAAGTTAAAAATCATAACCTAATCCGGACCAATGCTCTGGGGCAACTTGAGCTTCTATAATAACCCGGGTCACGGTTGTTGTTTCCCCACTTCATAAAGGAGACTTAGCCTGGCTCAGTGGGATAAAGTGGCTGCAGTCAGGTAATTAATCCTATTATCAGCTTGATGTCAGCTTCCTGACTGACGACATGTGCGTCTCCTCTCAACAGTTCAAGGATTAATTCAAACTTCCTGACAGCCTGACAGGACTCTTCAAGGTAAATGATCTCCTACCTGTCAGTCCGCTGACTCATTTGACCACGTGCTAATGTCTTACACACACTCCAGCCGTGTGTTTTCAACTAATATTACACCACAAACCGGACGATGATTATCTCCTGATCTAGGAGAAAAATTGTCTTCTACGAGGATGATGTGGTAGCCATGGCAACGCTACTTGAAATCCCACAGTAAGCGGGAAAGGATAACCTCCGTCACACTGAGCAGAGACGTTTTAAAAAAGTATTCACAGGATTGGAGAGAAGTTCAGAGGGGCAGTGTTCATAACGGCTGTGAATAAGACCTGCGATTTATAAAAGGAAAAAAAAAGATCTGCAGCAGAAATCTGTCAGTCTTTGTTTGCATCATTCTCACAAACAATATCCTTTTTTTTTTTGTTTTTTTGTTGTGACGCCTCTGGGACCTTCTCCTTTTTCCGAGGTGAATCTGTAATTTATGTCTGCAAATGAGCCCTTTCCCCAAGACCAGCACAGCCCCCCTCCTCCCTCCCCTCTCTCTCCTACATCACACCTGAATTGCAACAAAAATTAAAAGGCAGCCATCTGTGACATCCCACGCTGCAGCCAGACAATGAGAGAATTATTCAGAGACAATGACGGAAACAAAAATTAAATAGCTCTCACCTTCAGCCGGATCCGGTGGCCCGAAATCCAGGTCATAGCGCAGGATGTAAAAGTTATTCCACACGTAGAGCTGATTGTCCCTGGGGTTGTAATCCACGGCCGTGATGTACTGGTACTGGTTGGGGAAGAGGATGTCGGTGTATTCACCGTAGTTCAGCTTGGTGTTGTAGATGTAGTCGATTTGACTTCTGCTGGTGTCGCTCTCGTTCTCTTCGTAGGTGGACCGCACCACGTGCAGCACGCCGCACACCATGAAGGCGTTGGAGGCAGAACGTTTGTCGTACGCCGTGTCCCATGTGTTTTCGAACCTCAGCGTGTATGGGTTGAGCTGGCTGATGACGATGCGCCCATTGTTGTGCTCCGTGGCGTAGATCACCCATAAGCCCCTCTCATCCACAGCCAGGTCAATGTCTGTCTTGCCGCCCCAGCGGTAGGGTGAGGTGTCGTGGTAGTTGGCGTTGTTCACAATGGCCTCACCACTTTTGATGCGCGTGCGCAAGTCAAACTTGACAATGTTGCGAGTGCGTTCTTTGTTGAAGAATATGGCGCCGTCATACGCCACGAAACCAGTTCCATCGACGCGGTGGGGCAGTTTGTAAGTGGTTGTTTGGCGGCCATTTTTAAAGTCCTCCAGAGAGGCGTACTCAATGAGGGTGTCAGTGCGATAAGGTGTCCAGGGCATGAAGAAGACTTTGTCTCCGGCCTGCAGCGGGTCCTTACACCAGGACCCCGCCTGCTGCTCCGCCTCGAACAGGAAGGTGGCTGCTCCTACACCCTTCAGTGTCCCAGGACAAATGAAAACTAGTGACAGAAGAGAGAGTGAAACAAATACAATATGGCAAAATGTTAAAGCACAAAGAAACCA